GGGGCCGACACTCTCTCTCTCTCTCTCTCTCTCTCTCTCTCTCTCTCTCTCTCCCCATCACATACTCTCTCTTCATCTCTCTCCCTCTCATGCACCTATCTCTCCTTTCGTCTTGTTCATTCCATCTTCCTATTTCTCATTCTCCATAAGGTATTGTCGTTCAGAGTAGACGTTACTTACAATTTTGACTTGGAAAATGGAAAGTGAAAAGAGAAGACAAAAGTTTAGGAAAAGAAAAAGGAAGGAGGAAAAGAAGAAGATAGAAGAATTTAGGGAAAGAGAAGGGAAGAAAAAATAAAAAGGAAGAAGAGAGGCGGAAATTTGAAGAATGCTTTACAAGGGAGGGACCTTATTAGGTGCTACAAAGCCTTCTCTATGGCCTTCAATCAAAAGATTAAGAAGTCCTCTCTAGGTTTTCTTTTTCTTTCTCAAAGTTTCTCAAAGCTAATCACAAAGGAGCTTTCTCACTCCTTTTTATACAATTTGTCTTAAAAACAATGACCCAAATGCCCCTAATTCATCATCATCATCGTCAAAGCCTTTTCCCAACTAATTGGGGTCAGTTACATGAATCTTAGTCCGCCAGTCTCCTCTATTAAGAGCCATGCCTTCAATGAGGCCATCCAAATGCCCCCAATTAAAATCAAATAATAGAAGGACTAGACTACCCTTGAATTATAATAAACTCCAAATCTAGCTGCCACTCTTCTAGGAAGACTTCTCCTACACATACTAGTAACCTTATGAAGATTTTCACTATGTTTGCAAGTGTGCCTTGGACTTAATCTTACTCCAAAAAGTTGCTACATGCCATAGACAATTGGCTCAAAATTACATCCACATTGGAATGGACACCCATGCAGAACAATACATCAGCCTAGAGTACTGTTGGCATTAAGTCAAGAGAGTTGAAAACAATGCTAAGACCATCACCAAAATTAATCTATAACATAGTATGTAAATAACCTCATGAAAATGCATGCAAGATTAAAAGAAATAACTTATTAGTCCACAGCCACTACGTGACATGGGCAAATTTTGAACTGTTAGACCCACAATCGAATTAGATTGGTAAAGGCCCCCCATCTGTACCACATTTTCAAAACAAAGACCTGAATCTGTACCAGTTGCAATATAACATCGAAAACATTTGAATATACATTTCAGCTTCAAAAAAAAAAAAATTGAATATATATTTTGTTGACAAAAATTACCACGAACAATAAAATAAGCATGTCTAAAATGGGAAATTTGTATAACTTATAGTTACCTGCACAGGGGTAAATGCCAAACTTGATGTCAAACCTGAGGTAGCACCACTACTCCCATATTGCTTTTCCTTGAACCTAACACAAGATATTAAAGAACAGGATGTCAGCTGCCAGCAATTGGAGAATACATTTGAGTGTTCAGAAATTTCCACTGTTTAAAAAATCGGCCCACCCAGAGACAAGGCAGCCAAGAGGCCATAGGTCGCCTTGCCTAGGTCCGGGTGCCCACCAGGGCAGGCTAGGCAGGTGCCCAGGAACCTACATAAAAATGACAGATTTTTTCTTTTTCCCTTGAGCGGCCATTTTGGGTCATTTTGACCTGTGAAAAGGGGTATTATAACCTCTCAAAGTAAAAAAACTCTATTATGCCTTAGAAACACCCAAAATTGATGGTTTTGTGATTTTTTGGAAACAAAAAATTTTTGGGCATTTTGTAGAATCCATCTGAAATGGTACCATATCTTATTACAATCAATTTTGGGGTACAAATGAGGTTCTTCCCAAGACTTTTGGGGGTGATTCTAAGCCTGTTAGAGAACCAAAAAATTGAGGATAAAACATCCAAAACGGTGAATAATTAAAGATCTCTCTCTTTTCATTTGTATGGCATCTTTCTCGTTGGAGACTTGGAGTCTACGAGTATGACTGTATGAAGTATGGACTACAAGAGTATAGTGCATGGACACTGATACACTATGTAATTGTTTATCTTTCTTCACTATTTTAGTTATTCAAAAAAGTAAAATTTTGGGTGATTTGAATGTGTCAACATTCACACACATATTTTTGTATAAAAAAGTTAATTAGAATACATATAAATGTCTAATATACGTATTAAACACCTCTAGAGGCATATGCTTGAGTTTGGATAGCACATATATGCATGTATGTGTATATTTCAAACCTTTGGGCAGCCTCCTAGGCGCTGGGCGCCCAAGAACCCCCTAGAGGCCTAGGGATCACCCAACGTTTTTTTAAACCAAAGCATCAACTAGCTAAAAAAAACTAATCAATCATAGAAACTGCATAGAAGTGCATTACTTTTTGGCTGCTTTTGCAGCAAGTTTGCTTGGACCAAGTGATACACGCAATTTCCCACTTCCAGCTTGACCAAGCATGCCATAACCTTCTCCTAGTCCATCACCTTTGCCAAGAAGTGAACATGAAAAGATAAAGAAGAATAGAATCATGACAGCACTATTCAAACAACACTAAAAATTTCAAACTTATCAAACTATCAGATGAGTTACGTAATAAAAAAGGGACCGCAAACTACTCTCAGTACAGGTAGAGTGTCAGGTGCCAAGACCATCCACCACCCACACTTATCAACAGATAGTGGAGATCAGCAGCTGTTCCACTGATGCAGAAGTCAAATGGGACAGAGACTCAACTCCACCATCAGTTGATAATACAGATGGTTGATGGCCGATACGAGTACCTTACACCATAGATGGGATGAGTATTGGGCATTTTCCCATCAAAAAGTTTTCCACACAACTTCCATACTGAGTTTGTACTTTAACAAAAACCATGAGTCAAGAGATACATATGGATCAAATTATTCAAAGCAATGAAATTTGTTGGTTCCAACAATAAAATAGCTACTACGGAAAACTTATTAAAACATGAACAGCACAAAAGCAATTGATTCTACCAAAACCCAAAAAATTTCTCCTTAGAAATTTGGCAAACAAAAACAAACAAGCAATTTATTAAATAAAAATTGCAAGAAATGAAATGAAAAAGAAATATTAAGCCTTGAGCCCAAAAGGAAGGAAAATAGGAAAGGGAAATGGCCATAAAATTTATTCAGATAAGTATTAGGGGCAGATGGCATCACATAAAAAGCATAATATAGCTTCTTTTATGACCAAAGGATCTCGAACTACTCAAAGAAAATAACTGAAGGGTCCAGAGATATACCCAAAGAGCTCTCTTCTGGAACTCCAAACTGCATTCGATTGGCAAGCTTCCTCATATCAGTTATTGCGTACCTGGAAAGAAATAGAGAGAAAAACTAATGGTAAAGGAAAAAGATACATTACTTAACCATTTCCATAATTACTCTCATACAAAGACATTGGCTTACCTTTCCTTCATCTTCCGCAGCCGACGACCGCCTCTCTTCTTTTTTGGCTCTGAATCTGGAACTGGAAGTGGTTTCGGTTGCTTTGCAGGAGGAGGCTCTTGCCATTTTTCAATTTTTTTTCGTATACTCTCTCTTAAGTCCCTCCCTATCTGCCCTGTTGGATCGCCTCTTTCCAAATCAACTCGTACAGCAAGTGTTGACTTTCCAGCCAAAAGTCGGCATGCTCGAATTCTCAAAGAAGGGGGAGTGCTTTGAATAATTTCTGTTTGCTCAATGTAGCCTACACGGAACTGAGAGGTTGCCGTAGAGAATCCTGCCAAGTTCTTTTTCTTCGCGCCAAGTAGCTGAAGGTTGCAAGCAGGCATTTTTCCCAGTGCAGACAAACCACCAGCTGTCCCCATCAATTTTGCTGCAACTGCACTTCCAACAATAGCAGAAAGATTTGGAGCAATATAACCCATTCTACTCTCCACAAAATCAAGAACCTTCTTCTTTGCGGCGTCAAGAGCAAGGGCCCGATCACATGCATCAATTGTTTTTTGAAGATTTTCTTCTGAAAGTGGCCTGCCACTAGTGGTTGATGCAGTAACAGAAACTACCATGATTATTGCAGAGGGTAAAAGCCCTTCTAGATCAACAAGTGTTAAATCCATCTCATTTCCAATTTTCTTAACAACTCGAGCATAATCAATTGGGTGATGTACAAGTGATTCGAGCTCAGGGAACTTCAAGCGATAGTTGTCCCGAATAAAATTGTGAATGATAGTGATTTCATTCTCAATGTCCACTGATAAAGCATTACAGTCAACAATCAATTGGTACTCAGGATCATCCTCCAAAACAGTACCGCTACTTGAGATCTCTGAGCCTTTGTCGAGAGCATTTTCAACTTTCTGCAGAACAGGAGAGATTTAAGCAAATTATAGAGACTCCTAAACAGGCCATAATAATAAAAATGGTCTCTTGCGCTAAAAAGTTTAGTTGCCGAAGTTCTACCAGGCACATTTTATCACTTATGTTTGGGAAAGAAAAAAAGCTTGGATAACAAGAACAGTGTTCAACATCAAGCCCAATCAAAAGGTACTTATTCTTAAGAGCCTTAGGTTGGCGTTCAGCACAGTTACCAATCAAAAAAGAAAAAGTTTACACAATAACAGAGCATTTTAAAATTGGAATATTGCTATTTACTCCAATGCTTTAGCCATTCCCATCCAAGACATGGTGAGAATATAACAAAAAAATTCCCTGGCTAGAATTTTCATCCATGCTTAAGGGTGCAAACAGCAAAATATGGCAGAACAATATCCTTAAAATCAAGTAGTAAACAACGATAATGGGCTCTACTGTGGTCAGCTCCAGTGAAAAAATCAGTAGTAAAAACAGATAATTGGCTCTACTGTGGTCAGCTCCAGTGAAGAGCTAGCATAACTGCGTGCATAAAAGTTTTTTTTGATAAAGTTAACTGTATTACTATAAATGTCTTACATGGATTGTTTGAACCGAGAGTCCCTCCATGCTTGGACTCTCGATAAAAAATAGGTCAACAGACCCTATACAAAATGATCGTTTCTGTCCAAAGTTATACAGAATATACAATGAGATTACAAAAAATGGGCTTATAGTATTGCCCCTTTACACCAACAGTCTTTAATCTAAAGCAATAAAAAACTGGCCAAGTAGTGTTACACGGTGGTCCCTTTGTGGTCCAGATCAAAGGTAGGGGCTTCAACTGGAGCCCTGGCCCCGTCCTTTGCCAGGAGATCAGCTAGCTCGTTTGATGTCCTCAATGTATGCGTCCATGAGACGTTCATATCCCTGCAAATATTAGCGATCTCGTCAAAGATGAAAGCAAGATACCATGGAGGAGAGGAAGTCCCTCTTGCCCATGATATTATATTTTTAGCGTCTCCCTCCACTATTAGGTTTAGCCCCCATGATCAATTGAAACTCTTGATGCCCAGAAGAATGGCCATGGCTTCGGCGCGCTGAGAATCTTGAATACCAAGGTATTCAGAGTAGGTGAACAAATCCTACGGTTTTGGTCTCTGAAAGCTCCTCTTGCTCTGACATGACCGGGGTTTCCCATGGAACAGCCATCAAAGTTAAGTTTGATTGTTCCTTACGGGGGAGGTTGCCAATTGTGGGGTCTCTTTCTCTTAAGGGGATTGTGGTGCATGATGTTTTGCCACTGACTTAAGAAAGTGTTAGCAGCAATCCCTGAAAAAATTCAGTGGTTGGTTTCCCAAATAATTACTGAGGAAGTAATTTTGTGGAGTAAGGTTGGGCCTTCAGCAACTTTTCCTTGGAATATCCTGGAATTTCTCTCTTTCCAGATATTCCAAATTGTAGCTGCTACCGCTGCCTTCCAAAGTGTTCGTCCTGCCTTGGGCCAGTGAGTTATAGGGTAAAAGGATAGGAGTTCCTTGACAGTTGATGACATTACCTACTGAACTCTGCAAAGCTACAATATATGGCCCTAAATGTCATGGGCCATATTGCTGTGAATGAAAAGATGTGGGTTTGATTCCTCTCGCATTGACATGAGACACATCTATTGGGGATAGGAATGCCTCTTTTTTGGAGCTGGTCCACTATGAGGGCCCTTTGAGAGCCCGCAATCCAGTTGAAGAACTTAACTTTTGGGGGTGCAATGGTAAACCACACCCTGGATAAAAGCGAGGGGGGGTTGTGTGGAAAAGTGGGTCGCTGAATAAGTGTTATGTAAAAGGATGCAACCGAGAAAATACCAGAGGATGTGAGAGACCAAATTAACTCGTCCCTCCCTTGTATTGCTATGTAGGAGGAGTGTAGGATTGCTGACATGGAGAGAACGTGTATTGTTTCCTCATCAGTTAGGTTCCTTCTGAAAGAGGGATTCCACTCCCTTCGATTTCCCACCACTACCATGTCATCTGCGACTGTCGCTTCTTTGTTTGAAGCGATGTGGTAAAGGGAGGGGTAGAGATCCTCTAGGGGAGTGTGTCCAAGCCAAATATCCGACCAGAATCGCACTCTTGTTCCCTCCCTTGGATGGAATCCAATAAAGTTCCTAAAGAGGGAAAGAGATGAGAAGGATTTCCATGCTCCTGAGGCGTCGTTACAATTCCTTGGTTTTGGTACCCATGTCCCTTCGGGGATCTTGTATTTATTACACAAGACCTGTGCCCATAGAGAATTGGTCTGTGTGGCCAGGCGCCACCACCATTTACCTAGGAGATCCTGATTATGTTTTCTTAGGATTTTGATCCCGAGGCCTCCCTGTTTTCTCGGTAATCAAACTTTATCCCAAGAGATTAAATGGAACTTTGATTTCTCTGCTTGGCCCGACCATAGGAAGTTTCTCATTAGTTATTCCAGCCGATTAGTCACAGAAATGGGCATTTGGAATAGAGACATAAGGTATATTGGAGTGTTGGCTAAGGTTGCTTTGATCAGCATGTTTCGGCCTGCCTGGGAAAGGTACCTTCCTTTCCACCCCGCCAGTCGCCGATCAACCTTGTCTATGACATAGGACCACTGTCTCTTTTTCGGTTTTACACAATGGTGGAGGCACTTAGGCAATTGGAGTTCTACACGATGGTGGAGGCACTTAGGCAATGGAGGCACTATCTGATTCAGCAGGAATTTGTATTATATTCCGATCACGAGGCCTTGAGGTTCAAAAAAAAGTGGTAGATGCATAGAACAAGATATCCATGGAGATGAGTGTTTTGTTGACAACAGTTGTGAGCTTTGAAATAGTCCCATAACAATATGTTGTTGACTCCTACTTTGCTGAAATTGTTGAACAGGTACAGGAAGAAGACCTAGAACTTACTAAACACTATGTTTTGCATGATGGTCATCTTTTCAGGGAAAATTATCTTTGAATATCAAATGGTTCCTTGAGGTTGAAGATACTTTCTGAAGTACATGGTGGTTGATTAGGAGGTCACTTTGGCAGAGACCATACTTGAGCATTGGTGGAGGACAGGTGCTTTTGGCCGCGATAGAGGAGGGATGTTGCGAGGTAAACAGGCAGATACCATACATGCCCAGCTTGCAAAAGGGAGACTCAGGCCAACAGGTTGTACACTACATTACTGGTACAACGGCAACCATGGAAAGTTGTGGGTATGGATTGAAAGTAGGACGATGTGACCCGAGCAAGTATGTACCGATTATTTTATTTTTTTTCTTTTAGTTTATTTTACCACCTGGATCACTTAGATGTGTCCAAATACAATTTATAAACCAACAAAATAACAAATATGCCAAGGATTCTCACTTGCATGCCATCAAAACAAATTCTCATTCAATATATAAATCTGAAAATTACAAAAGACTTTCAATTAACTCAACTCAAGAAAACATGAAATAAGCAATACCGCATACCTTGCCTCAAGTAACCCCCAAGGACTTCGTACACCCCACACCAGGTCTCCACCAATGGCACACATGATCTCGGTCCTAACCTTGTCTCATAATTTGCAAAACCTCATGAGAGAGTCACATGGGATGGAAGCAACTCAAAGCACAAAACAATCACATGCTCAATCTCTAAACCTAGGGCGTGTCACCTCATAGAGACTAAGGCGTGCCCCTCAAGGTTTACTCAAGGCTGAAAAACTTATTCAAAACCCTTACTAGAGAGAGAAACACGAGAAAGAGAGAGAGCTTAGGCATACGTGCCTATGTGAGAGAGAGAGAGAGAGACAAACTTAGTCACAAGTATGTAGAGATTACCCCATAAAGAGAATTTTATAGAATAGAGGCTAGGGTTTTAGGGGTCTAGGGGTTTGCCATCATTATGAGACTCAATCTTGACCTCTGATTATGGAGACCTGTGGGTAAAGAGATCTTAGCGCTTCATTTCTTAGATCAGCCATCATGATTAAAGGATTGAGGTTGAACCATTATCCATCAGTTTCCATAAATCTATTCCCATCAAATAATTGTGTAGAGAAAATACTATGTTTTTACAAATCTAATTTCAATCAATTTCTACACTTGCTTATTTGAAATCAATCAAATCCATCTTATACACTTTCCATTAATTTTCAAATATGGTGGCTTCCATCACAAGCCACACCAATATGGAAAGAGGAGGAAGTGGGGCATCCCGTACATGGAGGGCCATGTGGGCCCCACACCCAAAATAATATCATAAATTAATAAAACAAATTTTATAAAATCATTAATTATTTTATCTTTCTCTCTTAATAGAATAATCCAGAAAATTGACTTTTCCCTTATTTAAAAATCCTTGTTGAATAAATAAAACATCCAAAGAGGTCTAAAAACTCATTTTAATTACCTAGAATATTAAAATCTACTTCAACATATTTAAAAAGATTTGATGAGAATTGGATCCAAAGAATTAGGAATATAACAAATATAGAGAGGACTCCATTTAGAAACCGAATTTCACTGCATCTTCTGAAATTGACCCAATAGTTCCCATGGCTCACAACCCTTTGTAGGGGCTCATACCTACTATCAAAGTTAACCAATAAATGAAGAATACACGATCCTAGCCCAAAGATTACAGGGTTCTCCCTGAGGACAAGTCCAGACCCCATTCTAGCACAATACCTCATGGATCTTTTCAAAACAGACCAGTCTTGCATTGAGACATCTCTTCGGCACATGTAGACATTAAACCCTCACCTAGAGGGCTGCTTCTCAGACGGTTATCTAGTGTACATGCCGTACGATGCTAATAATGAGGACTTGGCCCTTGTCCTCTCCGGCCAACCATCGCACATAAGGGTTACACCCAGTCCCCTAGCCAACCACCTTGGGCACAACTCTGACCTCATCAAGGGAAAACCCCACATCAAAACCCTTATTGGTTGTGCACAAATGCCCAGGGTTACGGGTTTTAAACATCAACCCGAGCTATAGCCCATCAAAGCTCAAGTAAGCCATGGCATCAATGATGCCTTACAGTCCAAACTGAACCACACTCCCAACGGACCTAACATATCACTATATAGAATGTGTATACATGCTCCTGTAAGGCCTTTAAATGGCCAAATAACCCCAATAAGGATTTTGCAATGGGATTACCACGAACATACCGGCCAATTGACTCCATCTTCATAGTAGTTGATTCTATTCAAAGATGGCACATTTTATAGTGTATCAAAACACTTTGAATATATGCCAGCAGCCAATTTGTATTTCATGAGGACCTCGTGGCGAAAGATGCGGACAAAAATGCAATTTAGGAGCACATTCCATTCTCAAGCCGATAGCCAAACAAAGGTAGTTAACAAGAGTTTGGTCAATCATTTGTGATGTTTGACAACAGGATGACCGCAACAGTGGGACTTATTCTTGTCTCAAGCTGAGTTTGGATATACCAAAACCATAAAGCGATCACCTTTTAGAGTAGTTTATGGCTGGAATCCAAAACAGGTATGGCGAATTTGCTTGATATGAAACAAGCTAGTGATGACACGGAGGCTTGGGTGTGATAGAAAATCCTTAGAGGAGCACAATGCCTTACAAACAGAGTATTGATCGACACTGGCCAAAAAGAGTTTAATGAGGGTGATCTACTTATGGTCTACCTACAGAAGGAGATATTTCTACAGGGGCCAGTACCATAAGCTGAAGTTTAGACACATTGGGCCTTGTCGTGTTCTAAAGAGATTGGGAAAGAATGCGTATAACATGGATCTTCGAGCAAGTTTTGATATTTTGATCATTTTTAATATCATTGACTGATATACTTATCGTTGTGAGAACAATGAAGAGATGGAGATTGATTGACAAGACCAGCTGCCAGAATTCGAGGCCAAGGGGATTGATTTTATTCTTGATATCAGGACTATTACCACAAGGCTTGAATCACATACACAATATATTGTACTCCAAAGATAAATTTTGAAGCAAAAGATTCATGGATTTCAAGACAGAGTTCCAAAGGGTAGATCCAGACAGGTGGAAGTAATATATTGACCAAAACTCAAGGGAAAATTATTCTAACCAAGGGGATTGATGCAGTCTTGCTGATGCCATGTTGACATCATCTCCAACACTTAATTACTTATTTATTTATTATTTATTATGTTTACTATTCACATATTCCTATTCTATTCGTGGGTTACAGTTCACAAGGGCATTTTTTGATATTTTTAATATTGTTTAGGGGTGGTGTAGAGTTTTCAAGAACTGCTTGCAATTTGTTAATTAGTACGGTAGCTTGGTGTCTCATTATAATTTAGAGTTTAAAACAGTGGCAATTTAAAACTTTGTAAAGCAGTTAGGGAGTAGTTTTGCTAATTTTATCAGTCTATAGAAACTTTTCTCCATTGAAGCATCCTGAGTTGCACTTTATTGAATCTGTTGAATTTCCAGTCCTATTTTCTGTTCAATCTTGCCCATCGATATTATGAGCTGCATCATAGTCCATCATCGGTGTTTCAGTGTCAGAAGTGTATTTTCTACTAGGATTTTGAGGGGACTTTTCACATAAAGCCTAGGTTTCATGTTAACTGCAGCCATTAAAGAATAATTTATTCTAAATAAATGAACATGATTAACACACTCAAATACAAAAGGCGCTTATTAGGTTAGGATTCAGACCAGTTACCAATAAAAAGAGAGAAAAAGCAGTGATAATAACAAAGTGGTTTACCCTTTGGAGATTGTTATTTGCAACCATGCTTTTGTTATTCCCATTGTAGACATGATGGAAATTAAAAACACATGCTAGCTTGAACTTCCAGTTTTCCACTATTTATGGTTGCAAATAGCAAAACATGGCAGCAAATAGCAATATCCATAAAAGCAAGTACTAAAATCAGTACTATTTATGGCAGAAAATAGCAATATGGCACAAAGAAACAATGGCAGCAAATAGAAATATGGCAAACAGAAACAGTGAGTTCAAAATCAGTAAAATTTGAGGTCTTGTCAAGATTTTTATTCTAAATAATTAAACGCGCACAACACACTCAAATACAAAGATACATGCATATATAAACTTAAGTATTTTGACATGAACCTGCATGATGTCAATATACCGCTGTGTATTCTGCAGTTTAGATACACTATCCAGATTATCGTAATTAAGAGCCTCAATATCAGCAATGCCACCATCTTCTTCCACCTCTTGTGCATCCCCATCATCTTCGACCTACACATTAGGGGCATCTTCTAAGAAGTAGTCACAGGAGATATAAGATGATATACAAGACAAAGTTCTGTTGAAACTTGAACCAGTCCCCTAATAAGAAAGTCAGGTGCTGATCATTACAGACAACACGTAGGCATTGGAGTACTCACAAGAAGATGAGCTTCATTGTCAGACAATTCATCAAGATCCGCCAAGAAAGAATCAGCAAGAGTGGCCTGTATCAATACTTGAGATGTGATACGTGATGATAAATTCAAAAAATCATATTTCTCATTTTGACGAAATGATATTTACGTCTCTGATTCCTATGAGTAGGTTTCTTATTGAAAGTTGAGACAACCATTTTGAAACAATTACACTGACAAACGTGAAAACTCCAACTATCCCAAACCTTATCTGAAAACTGATAAGAACTTTGATAGTAAGTCAGTTACCAGTTACCTCTCGTACTTATTATAGATGAAACATGCTTTAAAATCCACGAATGCCAAAGAAATAAAGGCAAGCACACTAGGCAATCTCTAGTAAAGATAATCTCCATTAGCCCAAAAAAACGTAAAGACAATCTCCAGAAACAACTAAAAAGGTAAATAAAGGACAAAACTCACCATGACAATCTCCAGAAACAACTAAAAAGGTAAATAAAGAACAAAACTCACCATTCCTGATCTTCCAAGATTCTTCCAAATGCAAAATGAATACCTATATGCCCGCAATGCTCAAGCAATAACAACTCTCTGGTTTAGGTTTTAGTAATGCTCAAGCAATAACAACACTGGTTTAGGTTGTAGTTGGGTTGGGTGGCTAGAGAGGTTTTAGATGGGGAGAGAGAGCATGGGGTTAGGGAAGGAGAGAGAGGTTTCGGCAGGGTTGCTGGCGAAGGAGAGAGTGGGGAAGGAGACTGAGCTTTCGGCAGAGTTGCGGGCTGAGAGACGGTGAGAGAACAAAGAGGCAACAAATTCGGCAAGCAAAGCTATTATCATTTTAATAATATTAAAAGAGTAATGATCCTACGAGACCCCTAGGTCGATGCAAAGGCTCATCGTTAAATTTGACACACATCTTTCTAGAATCGACGCAAAAGGCTCATCGTTAAATTTGACACACATCTTTATAAAAGTTATTATTAATGTGAGACTTAACTTTTTATAAAGTTGTGTACCAAATACGCATGGGTCTCATTTATACTTTTAAGATTTTATATTAACATCAATATTTCATTATTAAGCTTGTGAAAATGTGTCGTAAAAATAGCTGAGATTATATTTTTTTCACGCCAAACTGCTCCATGAAAGTATAATAAAAAAAAATTATATGCATTCAATTTTTTTACATAAGACTGCGTTGTAAAAGTCAAATAAAAAAAATAAAAAGAACAAAAAATAAGGAACAGAAGGACCTAAACTTAAAAAGAGTCAACTTATAGATCAATAAGTAATTTGAATAAAATTAAAAAAATTGTCTCATTCCTTTGTGATTTATTGCATGCCGTATGGAGATCTCTTGTATGGCGGTGTGTAAGCGCTTTATTTATGGTTCTTCTATTCATGTGATTCTGAGAAGTTGGTTATGTTTTATATTCAAATCTAATAAATCAATATTTGGCCTTCTTTGTTTTTCACAATTATTTGGTTTTTATGGGTGGAACGTAATGTGATAATCTTCCAATCTAAACTAATCAGGAGGGAACAATTGTTTCGACAAATCATTTATCATGTTCGAGAGTTAGCTAATGCTAAATCTTGGACATCTCATGTGCCAGAAAAAGCGATTATTGGCCACTTCAAAATTAATTTGCATCAACTGAAATATCAGTGTGATATCCCGATGGCATGATCACTTTCGAGGCATAATCATTTCAAGCTTAACATTGATGAGCATTCCTTGCATAACGCAAGGTGAGCAGGTAGGGATGGTGTTATTAGAGATTGTGATGGTGGTTTTATTACATCTTTTTTCAAACCTTTTTGGGATCACTTTTAATAATTATGCGGAGCTCTCTGCTCGTAAAAAATAATTAATTCTAGATTTTTAGTTGAAGTGTTTCCCTATTCAGATTGAAAGTAACTCAACTTTGCTCGTTAACGTTATTAATGAACGTCGTCAATCTCATTGGAAAATAGTTACATTGGAAAATAATTACAATTGCAGCAAATTGTAGACATAGCTTTTAAATCATAGGGTCCATCACCCATATTTTTCCAAAGGAGTTAATATTATTACAAAAATGGCTACATCTCATATACAAGCCGCTGTTTGGCATTCTCGTTTGCCGGACTGTATTTCTTTTGCTTTACTTCATGATATGTAATAAGTGCCTTGTTATAGGGTTGTTAAACAATGAGCTTTATTTTTATTTATTTTTATAATATGAATGAAAAACGGATAGGGGGCTTTCTCCCCCACTAACTTACCTCAAAAAAAAAATTTGTAACCCTCATTGTAAAAATCGGTCTCGATCGACAGTCGGGATCACCGTTTTACTGTATGAAAAAAATAGTAAATATATATAAAAAACATATTAAAAATAATAAATCGGTTAAAAACCAGTCCGAATGGATGAATCGTCGATTTGCTAAGGTATCTAGATACTCTATTGTAGACCCAAACAATTTCTTATTAACATAAACACTAACCAACAAGGTAATCTGGTGCCGACCCGGCGTTTAAGTCGTGCCCAACCGTGGATAAGGGACAGCGCAATAACAAAATTATACTGCACAGTGCTCAGCTCAAATGAGAGCTTTACCCCGTGTGTTAATCTCACTTCTGATAAATAGAGGAGGGTCACATTGTTACTCTGGGGCTCATAGCATAGTAAAGAGAAGAGTGGCGATATCATCGTCATCAGAACCTGGACTCGAAGAAACATTGCATAGCCATGGAATCATCACTCACCTCTTCACTGCTACTACTGGATTCAAGAGAGAGGTGGAGCCATAACGCAACAGCATTAAGAGAGGGAGGGATGTTGTCTGTTTGACTTGTCTTCCTTCATTGTCGTCAGAGGAAGGAGAGTGAGAGACGAGGGTGGTGATGATGAGATGGTGGTTTCCTTTTGGCTAAAAGGAATTTTGGCACACACATTCAACCAGGGTACATACATGCTCAGTTGCAAACTTCGTACGCAAACTCCATTTCTCTTTGCTGCTTTGCTTTCCAGAGAGATCCATGTATGCTGGCTACTTTACCGCCTTACCTCCAATCTGGGTTAGGGTTTTGTATGATATGCATTCCTTCAGTTAACATTTTAGGTCTTCTTGTTTTTTTTTTCTTTTTCTTTTTTTCTTTATGTCATTCCATGGTTCTTTGCATCCTATCAATTCTCGTGGTCTCCTTTTTTATTGAATTGTGGACATGCTGTGCATGGTATTGATCTTGTATATTATTTGAACCTTTGGTTCTTGTTACCAATAGCGAACGTTTTTTGCCTCTGACATTTTTTTGGTCAATCATTTGATCACTTTTTGCTTTCATGTCTTGTTTATTTATCTCCGTCCTCTATTTCTTTAATATTTTTGTTGGTTTGTTTGTTTGTGGTTTACTCCACCCAACTGTGATAATAGGAGACTGTGTTATTCTATGCAGACCTTAACATTTTAGGTTTTCTTGTTCTTCTTTTTCCTTTTGTTATTTCATGCTTCTTTGCATACTATTAATTCTCCTTTGCTGGGAAGATTGTCTTGCAAACAGAGTTTGATTATATTTCATTTTCTTAGGACATTGAAATTTGGTTTAGTTTTTTAGTTTTTTTTAGGGTTATTATTAAATTTTGGTTGCACAGATTTAAGGGTTAGAATTGTAAGTTTATTTATTTCAAGATAAAAGGTTAGGATTTAGTATTGATTTGGAATTTTTAGGGTGCAAGGTAGATATTAGATTTGTTTTCTTCCATAAATATGTAACCAGTGGACCGGGAAAGATATAAATAAGAGGAAAAAAGAGTTATTTGTAGATATTGTGAAGAGATATTTGGGGTGGAGTCCCTTGGAGACCTTGAGAGAGGGTATAATCCCTCACCTATTTATTTTTTATCTTTTTTTTGGTTAATTAATTTTCTAACTACAACAATTGGTATCAGAGTTTTTTTTCCACATCAATTGCTATCAGAGCTTTTTTCTACATCAATTGCAACAGGAGAAAGAAGAACATGAAAAGGTAAATCTTAATGCAAAAGATTTTGACAACCCAAAAGTACTATAAATTTTGAAAATCAATTATGAAGAAGAAGATATGTGTGTGCAGCATATGGAATACCACCCTTTTTTATCAAAAGAAGAAATCAAGATTAAGTTAGGTATTCTAGAGTTCCAATACAAGTTGGTATTAAATGTTCAATCACTTGTGTCATTGAAGATGACAAGAAATCGAGGCAAATGTTGGGATAGCATCACCAAATATTGAAAAGACTATTATACTATTTTATTTAGAAATGGTTAACTTTATAAAAGAAGGGAAAATTACAAGCTGGGTGCTCAGACAAAAGATAAGGGAAAGAGGTTGAAAGAAATAATAGGGGGTTAATTTGGAGAGGGAGGGTGGGGGAGGAGATTATCTAGACAAAAGGTAATTCAAAAACGTTACTAGTAAACCAAAGTGAACCTTAAAAAACCAGAAACGAAATAGCCTAAAATACCCTAAAAAAGGTCCGAGAAGTTAGATTGGTGGCCTTAGAGGCTCCAACTTCTGAGATTCTGTTGCTTGTTTTATTCAATGGGGCAACAACTTGGGCCAAGCAAGCTCTTCTTGTGATGAAGGCATTAGCGGGGCACGTCCACCATAGTGCGAGAAGAGAGAGGGCAGACAGAGGTGGTGATGTGATGGAGGAGAAAGGTGGGTGAGAGAAAAAGGTGAAGGGAGAAAGAGAAAGAGGAGGATGAGGAGAAGAGGGGATGGAGATGCATGAGGAAAGAAGTGGCAAAGGAAAAGAAGGGGAAAAGGAGGGATGGGAGGAGGTGGAGGAGAAGGTGGAGGAGAAAGAGAAAGAGGAGGACGAGGAGAAGAGGGGAGGAGGGGATGGAGATGCATGAGGAAAGAAGTGGCAAAGGAAAAGAAGGGGAAAAGGAGGGATGGGAGGAGGTGTAGGAGAAGGGTGGGTGTGAGGGAGAAGTAAAAGGGGAAAGAGAAAGAGGAGGGTGAGGAGAAGCTAAAAAAATGTTAATTTACATAGTTAGTTCTTTGGTCCTTAACATTTAAATTCTCATGTAGGGATGACAGACAACTCTCTCTCTCTTTGTTTTTTTTTTTTGTGGGGTGAGGGATGTTGGGGGGGTTGGGTTGGGGGTAGAGGGGCGTTATTTTGTGGGATGGGATCCTGTAGCCCTCCAACCTACCAAAGACAAGATCGTAGCCTTCGCAATCTCAAAGAAATCCCTTCCATGATTCAGGGGAATGGGTGCTAAGTGCTAGCTCCTCATTTACATGCTGCTGTACCTTTACTTAAGAAGTTGTTTGGCTGCACCTATGCCGTGAGCGGGTTGTCACCTCAGCCATGAGGCACCTGCTTAGCTCCCATGGTCTTGTCACTGCCTAGCTAGGTTCCTCAAGGCTGAGGTACCCCAGTCTAGCTAGCCCAAGTATATTACACACATATATACTGAATATGCAATGTCTACACACACACACACACATACACACACACGCACATATTTATATATATATATATATATAATCACACATAATCTATGTGAAATTTGTGCATTATGTATAAAGCATGAGGTATAAACATTGAAAAAGTTGAACAAATTGATTTGAGTCATATGATTAAAATGTCAGTATTTCATTGATGTCTTAGAGAAAACACTCAAAAGAGGCAAGCAAGCAAACTGAAAATGAACTGTCATCTCTAATCTTCTTATTTGCCTTGAACTCCGACACCTCCATCTGACTATAGGCCATCATTATTAGTGTCATCAACTTCTTTAGCATATTGCCATCCTCGTTTGTCTCCTCTGAATCAGTCTCCTGCTCAACCATATTCGAAGTCAAACCCGCTCTAAGGAAGGCATCTTCCATACGGGATCAACTAACCACCCACTTGCATCGATATGCTTCATGGTAATAGTTTCAATCTTGTGAT